CTGACACCTGGGAAAGGAGAGAGGGAAAGAAGGGTGGTTAAATATGAAGAACTCTACACTGAGAGACAGTTCTGAGAAAGCCAGGGCAGTTCAACAGGGAGTTCTGGAGCAAAGACTGCCTGGGGGAGGTATCTCTAGTGCTGTAGGAGTGAACGATTCCAGTATTCTGCCGAGTACAGTAATTGGGCAGAACTCAAGGAGGTCATGGCCCTGGGAAAACATTAGCTATTCCTGAAGGTGTGGCATCCAGAAGCTGTCTGCTCACCACACTCTTTGCAGGAGGAGTTCTTGAAGAGAAATCACAACAATGCTCTTTTATGACCACTACAAGAGAGGACCTGTACTTGGAGATAAAGTCAGAGTCAAGGATTCATGGAGTAAAGATATTCTAGAAAGAGAGGTCTAACCCTTGAGAGCCCTAGTCTTTAAGTCACAGAATGGAAGCTAACCTGTTTCAAATTCTCTTCTTTCTTGAAGTCAAAACCCTGGTGGAACAGAAGCCCTGCCAGTACCCATGTATGGTGTCCTCTCCTGACCTCTTTGGCAGGGCACGGACCTTTGACCTGGACCCTGGGAAGGGTCCAGGCTCACAGCACTCACTTAGCTCCAGAGCCAGAGTTTGGTGGTTAAAAGAAACAGTCCTCTAGTGTCAGTCACATCCCATACATTCTCCTCTGGGCTCTCCAGCAGATCGTGGTATTCTAAACACCATGGCTCCCCTCATGTAGGATCTTTATTAGCGGATACTCCACGGAACAGCTTGACTGGCGATGCTCAGAGAAACTCCCGGAAACTTTCTCAACCAAGCCCTGAGCACCATCTGATCTTCCATTTCCTCAAATTGGAAACTAGGAAGTTGTCTTAAAAATGGTGGAAAGCTCTCTGATTTTATTCTCCATGATTAAATATAATTATAAACGATCTTTCAGATCTTTCAGATCCATCCATCTTTCAGATCTTTCAGATTCCATCCTCTGCTGGACTTGTGTCTCTCTCCTCATCAGCCATCCGCCAGGCTCCAGGCACACTCCAGGCACAGCCTTCTGTCGGGCTCCACCAAGCTGGTGGTCATTCAGAAGCCAGTGCAGAGCTCATTCTGGAAGAGACTGTGTCCCCATGCCTGGGAAGGTCCTGTAACTGATATGCTTGTGAAGCCACAGAGCCCACAGGCAAGGGTAAACCAGGATAGAAAGATGGACTGGCTTCCACAGGGGTGCCCAGAGGGAACTTGCTTTTGGACCTTAAAACTAAAGACATCTGATTGCACGACCAAAAACCAGTAGTAGCAGTGGGATGTACTGGAGGAATGGGGGCCAGCAATCTGCAGAGCTAACCTGTTTCAAACTCTCTTCTTTCTTGAAGTCAAAACCCTGGTGGAACAGAAGACTTGCCAGTCCCCATGTATGGTGTCCTCTCCTGACCTCTTTGGCGGGGCACGGACCTTTGACCTCTGATGTCTCAGGGGATAGAGTAAATAGATTCTTTGTGATGCTAATTTTTATAATGCCTACTATAGTTTGGATCTTTAATGTCCCTCAAAAGCTCAGGTGTTGAAGGCTTGGTCTTCCACTTGGTGTTGTTCGGAACCCTTAGGAGGTGGGGCCTAATGGGAGGTTTTAGGAAACTGGGGGTAATGACCTCAAGGGGATTGTGGTGTCATCCTTTCTCTGTTTCATTCCTGGCCAGTTTTCCTTGCTACACAGTGCCACCATGATGTACAGTGCTACCGTAGGCCCAAATCAACAGGGCTAATCAGTCATGGACTGAAACCTCTGTAACTTTTAATCAAAACAAACCTTTCCTCTTTCTAAGATGATTATCTTAGGTATTTGTTATAGTAAAGAAAATTTGATTTAATATCTGAGGTTGATTGATTGATTGGTACTGGGGATTGAACCCAGCCAGGGTCACTTAACCACTGAGTTGCATCCTGAGACCTTTTAGTTTTTGTTTTTGTTTTTTGAAATAGGGTCTCACTAAGTTACTTAGGACCTCATTAAGTTGCTGAGGCTAGCCTTGATCCTCCTTTTTCAACCTCAGGAGTTGCTGGGATTATAGACATGTGCCACTGCATTTGGCCTGAGACTCTTTTTTTTTTTTTTTTTTTTTAATTTTTTTTATTGGTTGTTCAAAACATTATAAAGCTCTTGACATATCATATTTCATACATTAGATTCCAGTTGGTTATGAACTCCCAATTTTACCCCAAATACAGATTGCAGAATCACATCGGTTACACATCCACATTTTTACATAATGCCCTATTAGTAACTGTTGTATTCTGCTACCTTTCCTATCCTCTACCATCCCCCCTCCCTCCCCTCCCATCTTCTCTCTAATCCCCTGCTTTTCCCTAAGAGCTCTTCTCTTTTCTCTAGGAAAACTCTACTCTTAGTCAGAGGTCCAAATCTCCATTCAAATGACACAGGAAAAAAAAATATTCTCTCAAGCACCTGGCCCCCTCCTGCCCCAAACAAAAAAGTTCTGGGTGATCAATGAATTTAAGAGGCAGGAAGAATGGATCATTAACAGAAATGAACATAACCACAGTTAAAAAAAAGAGTCTCAGTAACTGTAGTATGTTACTGAGACTCTTTTTTAATAACAACTCTGTGGTAATCCAAATAATAGTCCCCAGAAATGTCCTCATCCTAATCCTCAGTACCTATGAATGTCGCCTCACACAGCACAAGGAACTTTGCCAGTGGATCACATGAAGGCTTTCTGGAAGAGATTATCCTGGATTATCTGGGTAGCCCAATGTAATTATAAGTGTTATGTAAGAGTGACAAAGGAGGGCCAGAGGGAAGAAAATGATGTGATGACAAGAGCAAATACAGAAGTGATGTGTGTGTGAAGAAGGAATACAGACAGCCACCAAAATATGAAAAAGGCAGAGCACAGATTTCCCCCTGAAGCCTCCACAAACAACCAGCCCTGCCAACACCTTGATTTTGACCCCATCAGACTCATTTTAGACTTCTGACCTTGAGAACTGTAAGAAACAAATCTGTGTTGTTTTAAGCTACTAAATCTATGATAATTTATTACAGCAGTGATAGGAAACTAATACCAACTGTCATGGAGATATTTTCTGAGTTTCATCATGCATCTATTTCACATCTTGAACTAAAATGCTTCAAAGAAACCACCATCTCACTGAGTCTGCAGAATTCTAAAACCATCCACATCCTTAGCAATACTGCAGGCGCATAGGATGTGTGCCAGGTGAAGGGGTGGGCAGGGCTCAGCTCTTCCTGTGGTTGAGGGAGCACAGGAAGGTCATCATGGTGGGTGCTGCTCATAGCTAATTATAACCATGGCTTTCACATGTGGGCACTGGCTGTATCTTGGGCTGAGGCCAGTGCTACTTTGCTCCAGTCAAGGTCATAGTGAAAGCCAAGTGGTGTAGGTGGTATGGTTCAGGCTGAGACTTCACATGGGAGCTTGTTGCTTTTTGTAATTACACCCTCAGATGGAAGATGAAGTGTCTACAAGCCAGGTCAGCAATCTTAGTGAAGGGCCAAATTTAGAGCCAGGCTAAACATCTCTTTATTCCAGAAAAGAATTTGGGATTGTTGTGGAGGAAGAATTTGGGGCTGCAAATTAAAGACACTTCCAAAGCGTGAACTGTTGCCACTCTACAAGACCTATAAAATGTTACAGGACAGCTATAAAATTGCTCAATTTAAGTTTTTGTAGATGTCCTCTATATAGGATGGTGGGACATAATGAGTAAAGATATATTTTCAACACAGATGAAGGAAGAGGAGATAGAGGGAAACAGTATATTTGGCAAGAGATTTGAGTGGTGTGGTAGGAGGGAGAAAGTAGAGAGAAAACTGTGGGGGAGATACAGACCATCAGTTCAAGGACTCTGGCCATAGCAGAACAGAGACTGACAATTGCTGGAAGGATATTAGTGAAGGTCTTTTGTCTCTTAGTTGTTTTTGTTGTTGTTGTTATTGGTGGTGTAGTGGTGGTGGTTGCAGTACTAGGGATTGAACCCAGGGTCTTGTGCATGTGAAGCAAGTGCTCTGCCACTGAGCTACATCCCCATTCCTGTCTGTTAGAGAAGTTGGAGAACAGAGCATGTGAAGCCCAAATGGAGAAAGAAATGAAGCTACTTAAAGAGGTGAACTGGGGGAGATAAGAATCTTCAGACTATGGGAGGAGGTAGGGCTAGGATCAGCAGTACAGGGAAAAAGTGTCCTCTCCAAGACTGGAGGGGAGAAGACTAGGTCAGTACAGAGTGAAGTGGAAGATCTCCACTATTTCATGCAGTGCCACTGTGGCACCCCAATGTGGTAGGCACAGAAGCTGGGAGGTGGCTCTTTCTACAACTTCAAGGTATAGATCCACACCCATGTGAGGTTGAGGAAGGCAGAATACAGATTTGCACTGCCCTACAACAGGGGAATTAAGTAGAGTTTTTCTGTCTTCTTAAGAATCCCAGCTCATAGGCACTTTCTAGGGTGTGACCTTTGTAGGATCACCCAGAGACTAGATTTCTTCTCTCGTTTGTTCTGCTATCTCTAGGGCATGCTTCTCATCAGTTGGGTGGCAATGGCCTATTAGGGCCCATGTACCTTCTAGCAAGTTGGGGGGCAACCTGGAAGTTGTACTCAGTACTTCTCCTCACATCCTGTGGCCACACTTAACTGCAGGGAGTCTGGGAAATATAGTTCCTATGGGTAGCCATGTGCCAGCTAAAATACAAGACAGTCTAATACTGAAAAACAGAAAAGGGGATAAATATTAGGGAACAATTAGCCATGGGCAGAACTAAGCATATATAATTGTCTATCTTTGCTCTATATTTGGGTACATGACTTCACCTCTCCGGGCTTCATTCTTCTTTAAAACAGGACTGGGGGTCTTGGGGGACCACCATGGCCTGGTATGAATAAGCTGCAGTCATGGAGCACCTGGCAGGGGCCCAGAAACCAGTAGGCACACACTCAGTACCTGCTGGTCCCCTTTCTCCCCTTCCGCCCTAGGAAAGCCGTTGTACCTACATATTGGGGAGGAGATGGACGGTGTGGACATGCGAGCAGAGGTCGGGCTCCTGAGCCGGAACATTGTGGTGATGGGAGAGATGGAGGACAAATGCTACCCCTACAGCAAGCACATCTGCAACTTCTTTGACTTTGATACCTTTGGGGGCCACATTAAGGTATGGCTTTGCCTGGCTGAGGCTGTCAACCCCACCAGGAGAATTTCCAAGGTGTTGGCCTATAGGTAGGGACTTTTTGGAAGGGGATGGAGAAACAGGAATTAGAATCAAAGGAAGTGCAGCTCCTGGGAGTTGGAGAAGTTTCATGTCTTTTCCACTGCTGTGATGTTGCACCTTTCAGTACTGGAGAACAGAGAGTTTTTGGATCCACCTTGGGAATGGTTCTCTCCTAGAGGCCACAGGGAACACGGCTTTCCCTGCTCATCATTGCCGCCTTCCTAGCTTCGTTATTTAACCTGATCATGTCCTGAAAAAAAGTCATGGTTACAATAGATCCATTACAGCACAGACAAAACAACAAGCAGGGGAGTGGAACTAGAAGTGGCAGCAATTATAGCTGAGATTTTCTGGTAAAGAGCCAAGGTCAGACAGACCTTCTGAGCTGCAGGGCTCTCACTGTGCAATAAACAAAAGTGATGCTCGTTCCTTGGAGCTCAGGATCTAGTATCAAGAGAAATTTCTTTTGCATCTCTATACAAAATGCCTTTACTGGGCCTATTAAATAGTGCAAAATATGGAAATTTCTTCTTGTGGTCATTGATGCCAATGTTGATAGCATGTATTATCTTGGAGTTTTGTGAAGATGGTTCTCTTGAAGGTGCTTTAAGGATAAGATTTTTGGTATCTAATTGAAGAGGCTAATGAAGTGAAACTTAGAGTTGGCAATGGGGAGGGACCCTGCTGGTATTTTACATGAGACAATTCTGTGTCACGCAGGCCTATGTTACAGCATTTCTAGAATCACTGGCTCCTATTCATTAAATGCTAATAGTGCTTTTTAGCATTACTTCTAATCATTTCCAGTCCTTTTCTGGGGACAGGGTGGGAAACTCTTTAGTGAGACCACAGCAGAAATAGCAGGTCTATTATTCAAGCTGCTGCAACTCTCTTCCCAATACTGAGAGTGATTCTGAGTGATCAGGGCACTCTTGCCCACTGAGCCCAAACTAGTCCTCAGGATCATTCTCAACACAGCTTCCCCAGGGATCCACCACTGGAGTTGGGATTCCAGTAGACACCTATTTTGTGGACAAATGGTAGGCATGTCAGAATTATCTTCCTTTCCTGGAAGTTGGCTGAGCCCAACTTCTGACAGAAATCACTTTCAGACTGTGCTTTCTCTATGAGCTTCTGTAACTCTGGGTATCTGTGTGGTCAAGGGATTCCCCTGAGCTCACAAGGAGTGGCTCTGAGCATACTGTGAAGAGAGCATGTGAGCTCCCACTACTCCTCACATGCCAATAACGGGGAGATCCATGAAGTTTCCATAATCAATATCCCCAACCCTCTGTTGGGAGAGGGTCTCAAATGGTGGGCATGGGGAGGCTCTTACCACCAGGCCCGATGGTCCTCCATATTCGTTCCCCAAACTGGTAGGGCATATTATCTGCCAGCTCCACCAGGTTATCCCAGGATTATCCCTTTTTCATAATTGGTGGATCAGGAGGCAGGGTAGGAAAGGCAGAGCAGAGCAGTCCCAGGTATTGCGCAACTCCTTAGGGCTTCTCAAATCCAAGTAGTGCATTGTTTTGCAACATCCTCAATCATTAGTAATGCCTTTCTTGTCTCCCTTTCTGTAAGAAGAGGCAGGCATCCTAACCAATATGCACAGAACATCTTTGACTTACCCAGGCGGGGATTGACAAAGCACTCTGGGGACACGTTTGCATTGTCTGGAAGCTCCTCAGGGCTTCTTCTGACTCACCCTTTCCTCTCCCTCTCCACTTCCAGCTTGCACTGGGGTTTAAAGCAGCACACATGGAGGGCGTGGAGCTAAAGCACATGGGGCAGCAACTGGTGGGTCAGTACCCAATTCACTTCCACCTGGCTGGAGATGTGGATGAAAAAGGAGGCTATGACCCACCCACATACATCAGGGACCTTTCCATTCACCACACCTTCTCCCGCTGTGTCACCGTCCATGGCTCCAATGGCCTGTTGGTGAGTACCTCATGCAAGAATGTTTGGATCTAGACATTTAGTCCTGGACCACTAGAGGTTGAACCATCCTTAGCTCAGATTCTATCAGTTACTAGCAGGTCACTCACCAGACAGGAAGGAGAATGAAATCCAGGGATGGTTTAGTGGCCATGTGGCACGACAGATCTATGAATGCAGACCAAGGTGTTATGCCAAGATCTTGGCTGTGGCATCTGCTGGGCTGACTGGAGGTGGTAGCAGCCATGGGCTCCTTTCTTTCTGTTTCACCAAGAATCTTTCAGATCTGGTGCTGTGAGAAAGACCTTCACCAGGAAACTGGCATACATGCCAGAAGCTTGTCTTGATTTTTGACAGATAATTTGTGCACTAAACTGGCCCTACTCTAAATGAACTAGTTTTACAAGCCTATCACAGGTTAAATCCAGACACCAGATTTTTTTTTCTAATAGGATGTTGAAAAAAAACATTTGCTAATTATTTTTACACTAAATTGATAATTTTACACTCATATCAACTATCCTAAATAACTTTACTTACATCCTCTATAAACTTTACAACTGGAAGTCACAAAAAGGAATGCTGCAAGCTGAATCAAGTAACCAGATGTGTTTTATTTGACTTAAAAAGTGTGTAAAACTGAGTGTGGTGGTACACACCTGTAATCCCAGAAACTCAGGAGGCCAAGGCAGGAGGACTGCAAAATTCAAGCTCAGCCTGGGCAATTTACCAAGACCCTGTCTCAAAACAGGGGATTGAACCCAGGGGCATTTAACCACTGAGCCACATCCCCAGCCCTTTTTATTTTTGAGCAAGGTGGCTAAGTTGCTTAAGGCCTAGTAAAGTTGCTGAGGCTAGCTTTGAACTTGTGATCCTTCTGCCCCAACCTCCCAAGCCTCTGTGATTACAGGTGTGCACCACCTCACCTGGCTCAAAAAAAAAAAAAAGAAGAAGAAGAAGAAGAAGAAGAAGAAGAAGAAGAAGAAGAAGAAGAAGAAGAAAGAAAGAATTAAAAGGGAGCTGGGTTGTAGCTCAGGGGTAAAGCACCCCTGTGTTTAATTTTCAATACTATAAAAATCAAACGGTGTCTAAAGAGCACTTGAATTTGTTTCCATCATTTAAATGCTGAGACTCTGCATGAACAGCTGGATTTCTGGCTCCTCTTGAAAAACAGGACTGTTGGCAGCAACAGTCCCTCTTTACTGTAGAACAACATGGGTTGGAGCAGAGTCGCAGCTGCCCCGCTAGCCCATGCACACTCTCCAGTGTCAACTGGGCCTGCTACTGCCTATTCCCTGGGTTGTTGTCACTCATCTCACTGCCTGCTGGCCCCTGTAGACAATTGAGATTGTGACCCCTACTTTAAACCAAGCAAAATGACTCTCACCATGAGGCGTGTGGTGAGGGGAAGATGAGGGAGGGGAAGATGAGGAGAGCTGTCAGCATGTCACTGAAGAGCTACTTTCGGTTCTATTCAGTGTGCTCTTCTGTTATAAAAGAATGCCTGTTGTCTCTGTGGTCTCAATGCTCTGATTTAAACCCCCCACTGAGTGTAGAGGAGAGGGCAAGATTTGCTGAGCCCTGTCTACAAGGGCCCAGGTTCCAGGGCTTGATTCACAGTTTTCCAGCTGTGAAACCTTGGGCAATTTACTTAACCTCCCTGAACTTCAGTTTCTTCCTCAGTCAAGTGGTAAAATGACATCAAACATTTAGGACTGTGGTGAGGATCTATGAAATGCAAGTGCGACAGGAAAGACCCAAGACCCCTGCCTGCCAAGTTCACTGGAAGTGCTTGTCCCAAACCAGGCCAGATGCTCTCAGTAGGTGGTAGCAGGGCTGTGCTGCCACAGCTGTTACAAAATGTGGGACTTTTTTCCTGGCTCAAGGAAGAAGGAAAAAAAAATGTTTTTGGCTGATGCTGAGAGACAACAACGTGACTTACAATAAATTCAGAATGTCAGGAATTTGGTAGTAACAATAAGCTTGGGTTCTGTAAACAGATGCCCTGAGTTCCAATCTATGTTCTGCCACGGATGAGCTGTCTAATTGTGCACCAGTTGTCTTACCTCTCCATGCCTGTTTCTTCTTCTGTAAAATGGGGAGGATCTTGTTTCCAGGACTGATGGAACAGAAGACACAGGCAGTGTGGAGACTAGTGCTAGACTCCCATCTAGCTCTGGGAGAGTCACAGGATCTGCCCTGTTTCCCCTGTAATTTGCAGGAAAAAAAAAAAATAAACACACTCAAGCATTCTCACTCAGGTTGCCAATCAAGGTCAGAATAGGGTGGTGAAAAGAACAACATAGAATATGGTAAGAAAGGTAACAGCCATGCATGGTAGTACATGCCTGTAATCCCCTTGACTTGGGAGACTGAGGCAGGAGGATCCAGGTTGGAGCACAGCCTAAGCCACTTAGAGAGATCCTGTCTCAAAAACAAAAAGGGCTGGGGAAGTAGCTTAGTTTTAAAGTGCCCCTTGGTTCAAAAGCCCCATCTGAGCCTCTAGAACTTTACTTGTGCTAAGAACTTATGTTAAAAGTTTTCTCCTTAATTTCAGGCCAAATTGCCTACATTTAACTTCATTACAGAGAAAAATAGTAAGAGTGCCAGAAGCCTATAATTACAGTTCAGAGTCTGTTGGAGTGGGAGCTATTCTGAATTTCAAAGCAATCACACACATACATGAGCACACACGCACACACACACACACACACACAGAGGCATAGGCATGCACTTACACCTGGGTGTGGACCTGTGCTATGCTCACCCACCTGGCTGGCCTTGGATGACCTATTGAATCAACCTGGTCTTCAGTTCCTCAGATGTGCTATGAAGAATGTCATGGCTCCTCCTCAGGGATGTTTGGTTAGAAAATGCAGGTGAAATGTTTTTGGCTGTTATAACAGTAAACTTTCCCCAGAGCAGTGAGCCCGGGTCTTAGCTGCAAACCAGGGGGAACTGGGCAAGGAGTGCTGAGTGGAGCTGAAGGCATTGTGCCCTTGGGGCACCCATCAGGGCAGCATTGAGGGTGCACATCTCAGAGGGGATACATGCAAGGGAGAGCAAGCCCAGGCCTTTCTCCAGGAGTCTGAGTTAATGCATCTAGGCCAGGATACCAAGAGATGCCTGAGGCAAGACAGAGGCAGCAGGTGAAGGTGGCCTTGGATCTATCTTATTTGGAGCAGCCAGATACATTAGCCTCACATACAGTAGAGGTAGACTCCTGGAGTAGAGTCTTGGACAGCTTCTTGAGCTTCTTGGATTCTTGCCACCTTAAATACCAAGGCCTTCCTCGTGCCTGACTCCCAGAGGTGCTGGCTGTCAGACCAGAGGGAGCATCTGTCAACTCTCAGTGTCACCCAGATGCCAGATGGCCAATATACCAGCTGCAGCATTGGCCTTGTGGCCACACAGGGATCTAGCCTCACTCAGCTCAGCCACGCTCGACAGCCAAGCTGATGAGGTAGGATTTAGAGTCATAGCCCTGTTGTAGCCTTTCCAAACTGAAGCCAAATTATCATGGCTTAGAATCTAGATGAAGTACAGGCCTCTAACTCTCTGAGCCAGACAAGCAACACAGCCATACCCCTGGATGAAAGCTGAGGTTTTACAGATTGGCACCTCAGTCTGTAAATGCTTCCCTATGGGGGCAGGAAGTTCCACGCTCAGAATGCTGCCACAGCAGCTGGACACTGTCCATTGGAATTTTGCATTTCTTTCCTTTGTTTTGGCTTTAAGGATTTACCAGTGACTTGCTATGTCTGGGAAGATGTTTTCAACTGGCAGGATGGAAGTAACCCAAAGACACACAAGGACACAGTTCAGATTTGGAATGCAGAGGCCACTCAGTAGCATCTCAGAAGCATTTTTCCTAACATCTCCCCTGCTCTGGAGGCTGGCTGGATCCCAAAATGGATAGGCACAGGCTCATAGAAAGAGGGTTTCCATGCCAAGCCACGGTAGTGCATACCTATAATCCCAGAACCTGGGAATGCTGAGGCAGAAGGATTACAAGTTTGAGGCAACTTAGGGAGACCCTGACTCAAAATAAAAAATAAAAAGGGCTGGGAATATAAGTGTCCCTGGGTTCAATCCTTGGCACCACACACACACACACACACACACACACACAGAGAGAGAGAGAGAGAGAGAGAGAGAGAAGGGGTTCCAAGTTATGCAGATCTGAGAGGTGCTTAACACTCATGCCCAAGGGGATCCTGGGAGCCCCTCACTTGTGGGTTCCTCCTCTCTGCCTGTTAAACATGCTCTGTTCATCCAGTACCCACATTGGGCAGCCCACCTTTGTTATTTCTTTTCCTTAACCACCAACTTTTGCAAAGAGTGGTCAGAAATTGACATTTCTGCCAATTCTGTTTCTCACTCTTCTGCTAATTAACCAAAATGTGGGCTTCTCAACTTTTGCTTTCCCTGAGCCTTGGTGATAGTGCTTAACGGTATCTCTCCAGGGGGTTACCATTGAGCCAGGTATGGTGGCTTATTCCTCTAATCCCAGCAACTTGGAAGGTTGAGGCAGAAGGATCACAAATTTAAGGCTAGCCTCAGCAACTTAGCAAGACTTTGTCTCAAAATAAAAATAAAGGGCTAGAGATGTAACTCAGTGGTAGAGCACTTGCCTAGCATGTGCAAGGCCTTGAGTTCAATCCCCAATTTTTTTGGAGCACCCCCCCAAAAAAAAAAGTGTCACCACAGAGCTCAACAAATCCACTGCCCCTTCTCTCACCTCATGAATATCTGTACTCGTTTTCAATGCTATTGCAAGTGTCAGTAGAGCCTTGAGTTTGAAGAGCATAGGGTCACAGAGACTGATGGTTTCCTCTTCTGTAAAGTGAAAATAACAATAGAATCAACTTCAAAAGGTTTTTAGATTTTTGACATACTGAGCAATGATATTAAACAATATCTTCACTATGTGGCTCTGTATCTAACTGCTCTGTGTGACCATTACTGGTTCCCAGAGATGGTAGTTAGTATCCCTACCAAAA